ATGTGTGCATATTGGATGTGTCTCCACTCAGCTTCAGCTAATACTCACACTTATTGACTCGCTCAGAACTTAACAAAGATTTACATCACCGCCACACTTTAAATTCTACTTCTCAAGTTTTGTTTTGTTTTTTCCAAATGTGGGTTAAGTTTTAATCAAGGAATCAGGAAAATGCTAGCATCAAACCGTTGTTGTCCTGCAGTTTAGCACAGTGGCACATTATCTGATATGTGAGCGCACATTTGGCGGCAAAATAATCTGATGTGTGGCTTTGTCCTGTATGATGCTAGCATGCCAAGTGAAGTATAACAGGCGAGAACGTGCAACAGCTGAACTGGATGAGTTGATAGTTTTAAACTCTTATTTAAACTCTTAAACTTATTATGCAAAGACCCTCATCTGACCTGATTTGAATTGAAGGGTAGAGTTTTATAATAATTGGAGATTACAAAATAACATTTAATCAACTTGCTTAAAAGTTTTCAGCGAAATAAATTCAAGTTTAAGACGGGCAAGATGCATTCAAGTCTAGTGATAGAAATGTCACCGTTTAGCTGCGATCTGCTTGAAATAATGATAGAAACTTTATTCTACAGAAACACAACACATCACCATGACTATAATTTCATCAAGAGAGGGAGAGAAATAAACCACATTTAAACCATATTCATCAGGGGACAGTGAAACCGTGAATAATGTCCAACTACACTGTATGTTCAACACTACCAACAATTTATTGATTAGTAGAAAAATAATTATAGTAAACATTCCCCTATCATAATGTATTGTATTCAGTAAAAAAAAAAAGGTATGTATCCAGATTGACTTGCTGTTGCTTTGGATGTGGACTGAGTTTCAGATTTTCTCTGTGTGTTATAGAAAAAAAGATAAGACAATGCTTTTATCATCCAGGATCTTTTATCATGGAGTTTGCAGATTTATTTTAGTGGGATTATGCCATAAATGCTCCCTTCGTGACGCTCGTAACATTTACTTTTTTTTGTCACTGTCAAAAAAGTTGATTTAACTCTTCTGTCATTATTTAGGTTGTTTGGACCTTTCTCACATCCTCCAGTTTGACTTGTCACGGAAGAAGACGCGCTGGTCGAGGCCCTTGCATGTCCTCCCTGTGCCTGCGTGTGTTCTCTCCAGCTTCCTCCCACAGTCCAGCGACATGCATGGTAGGTTAATCAGCGATTCTGAATTGGCCATAAATGTGCACGGTTGTCTGTCTCTCTGTGTTAGCTCCGTGATGGACTGGCGACCTGTCCAGGGTGAACCCCGCCTCTCGCTTAGTGTCAGCTGGGATAGACTCCAGCCCCCCTGCGACCCTCTGCAGGATTAAGCGGGTGTAGCTAATGGATGGATGGAAGAAAAGGTGTTACTAATGGCAATAAGTGACAATAACTAATGGCCTATTCCATTTAGGTGAACCGGTAGGCGCTGACACTGAGCACGCATGCACATTACCACGACCCTGACACCGGAGCAGCTAAAAGGAACACAGCCATGATTGATGTTATTCGTCACACCTGTGTCTGACAAGCCACAATGAGAAAAGGCTGTTGGATTACAACATACCAGAAGATATTTTTAATATTTGGCCCACCCACGTTACACTTTCCTCATGTGTTTCCACCATCTGATGGGCTGTTGGTATTCACAGGATAGTAAAACAACTGCAGCTATTATTTCATTAGCTCTCCTTCTACTGATTTTAAAGAGATGAATCATTTAATGTGTCAAAATTAACAACAGATGCCCATCCTTAGTTATCTGATTAGCAATCACATGAAATGGAGAGGGAAAAAAAAAAAAACGTGCTACTCCTCAAATTCAGGAAGATGTAACCACAAAATGCTTGGCTGATCATGCCAGCTCAGACAACAATGGATCTTTTTCACAGCAGCTCTGCGAGTGTCCCAGTAAGCCATGAATGTCAGCCAACATTCACAACACATAAGGAAAAAAAATGTGTCATTCGGCTAACGATTTTAATTACACGTGCTTTTACCATGAAAAGGCGGCGCGCTGTGCATTAAACATGACGCTTAATGTGCATTATTTCCTCTCATGTTCTCATTAGGAGTCAACCATCAGCCCAGCGGTATCATGTGCTGCACAGCTCCACTACTTTCATTGCTAAAAGGGTCTCCTGCACATTTTACACATTTAATTAATCTTTAATACCACCATTGATTAGATTTTTGTCAATCAAGCTCCTGTTGTGTGCTTTGCTCGTGGCCAGGAAGTCTGTATTTAGTGGATCCGGCACAGTAGCAGCCTTCATGTATGCGCTGCACGAGTGTGTTTACACGACTGCACAATGGTTTTAGACACTTGAGATGTTTAGATTCTTATCTTAGGCGCTTTGCTAGAAAGCAACTGGACTTCTCTTTGGGCTTCCTGAAGATGTTTTATCGGTCATCCAAGAGGCTTCTTCAGTTCTAACTGTCTGATATGTGAAGATGTCATCAAAACTTCCAATTATATGCATCTAAAACTCCCCATCAGTCAGTTAGAACTGAATATGCCTGCTGGATGAGAGGTGAAATGTCTAAGCTCCTCCGATTACATGACCTGGATGACAAAGGATCTACACAGATATTTAGATTCTCATCCACCACCAGCCAGGATTGGTCCCAATTCTATTCTATTAGACCAAACATACTGTATATCGGTGTTTAAAGGTGAAGAGTGGCCTTACCAAATGATGATTTAATTTAGTTGTCATCATTTTTAAATATAACCTCACTTTACATTTAGTATCTTAAACCTTTGCACACTTCTGTACGGTAAGCACTTCTCCTCAGGACTGATGAGGTGGTCTATGTGCAGATAAAAGTTCAAATGTTGCACATCCAACATTCCTTGCTGCTGACTCATGGGTTCAGGCTCGTCCTTTGTCACCAGTGAACGCAGCACAAGGAGAAGCATCATTTCTTCAATGCTACGTTAATGTCATCATTTCTGGCATGAGACAGAATTTACACAGTGTCTCTCTACAAGACCTGCTCTACGCTAGTCTGCACTTTGTGTACAATTCAAACGGCAATATTTGGTAGGGAAAACTTTTAAGTAAAACTCACATTCTCAAATGTTGGCTCTGAAGCCTGCTGGCTGTTTTTCTCTCTCTCACACACACACACATACAGAGAGACAGGTTTGCATGATAAGTATTGGAAAAGGATGTGAGAAGTCCACTGGTTAAGTCAGACGATGCCGTCCTGCCGCTCAGCAGTTTGAAATACTACTTCTCTTGTCGTTCTGTTTTCTCTCTGGCCCTCTGTGCCTCTTTTCCTCCCTCTCGCTCCAGCTACTTCACCTCCTCCGTGGCCTTGTCACATTCTCTCCTTCCCTCACCTCGCCCCCACACTCTCTGTCCATTCCTCTCGGTATAAGCTTTGTCCTTTGGCTCCATCTCTGTGCTCTTCTATCTGCTAAAATCCATAACGTGGGGAACTACCGGGCCACAGTCCATCTGCCACAAATGACTTCCCTGTGACTGATGCCTCACTCCCTGTGCAGCTTCATTCACACTAAATCATTCTCACCTGACTGATGAATTGCTCTGTTTGTGAGAGAGGATGCATGTATATGTGTGTGTGTGTGTGTGTGTGTGTGTGTGTGTGTGTGCATGATGGATGATGCATGAGGATATAGGTCGCTCAGTTTGTTCCAGTGTTGGCAACTGAGCTCCGGTGGCCCAGCTGCATGAAAGCACACATGCAAACAGAAGTGAGGATGTAAAAATACACACATGTGGAAGGAAGCTGTGGATCTAAAGGATGAAGGTGTGGAGGCCTGATGTGATGGATGGACCGAGATAGCACCGCCCCTGCACGACTGCATCCATGTAGCTGCACACATAGGCATATGCACGTGCAGTCCTGAATCCTACGTGCAAAAAGCTGCAAGACCCCCCCACCACCACCACCACCATCACCAACCTCCCACGCCCCCAGCCCACCCCACCCCTTTCCAAAGCACGACGCACGCACGGAATACCGGGGCATGCCCGAGCGACGCAACTGTCAGCTCCGCTTCTTCCGACAGAGAGACCTTTTTGCGAGTTTATTAAAGGGGGGAGCCAGTGGGGGAGAGACGCTGTCGCATGTGACAGGCTGCGTGCATGCCAGCCTTGTTGTGACCCGATGAGCACGACAATCTGTGCAAGCTCCGCGGATCACAACCCCGAGCGGAGCCCCTCCTCATAGCCTCCCCAATATAGCCGCCCACGCGTAAAAGCAGAAAGAGACACTCTAAACACATTAAATATTCCATAATCCAATGAGGCAACAACACCATCAGAGCGGGATGCATCATCCGCGGCTCGGATACGCAGCCCAGCATCCCTAAACTCCATTTTGTCTCTCATTTGACACTCAGGGAAACAAGAGGGGGAAGCCAGGGAGACCTTTTACGGAGACGATACGCACGGGAGAGGCAGAATCACCCACTGACATTCAGGCCTCAGTGGAAAAAAAACATCGACTCGTAGGTCCGCCACGTTCACTCGTGGGGTTTTTTAAACGTCACATCAGCAAACATCAGGGTGAGTTCATCATATAGGCCCGTGCAATTAAAGTCGCGGGTGGATGAAGGTGCGCACTCGGCCTGGCAAAGTTGCCAGCCTACCTGCTATTCAAACCGATCGATTATCTGACTTTGGCTCAGATTTGACTAAAAAAAAAAAGAAAAAAGAAAAAAAAAACGGATCGCGAATGTAGGCCAACGTATGGATGTTTTCTGGCACATCCAGCGCGCACAGGCATCACCGTGACGCGCGGCCAGACACACGGTTTATAAATACTATGAGCGAAAGATCAGAAATCCTTGAGAGTCTCCGAGTGACAAGTCCCCCCATAGCATCTTCTCCCTCCCGCTGCCTCCCCCGTCTCTCTTCCCTCCGTACATCGTTGCATACGTGCAACATCATCCACATCCACAGCAGAACCACAACACCAAACGACCGCTTGTTACGCGTAGCATTTATTTACCTTTATGTCTGCCTTTCGCTGTCATCGTCACACTGCTTGATGTTTCATTGGAACAAGATGCTCCTCTCCCTCTCTCCCTCCCTGCTTTTTCCTCTCACTGCCGCTCTCTCGTCTCTGTAGGGTATTATTCAGTAACACGAAACCACCGCTAGGAGCTTGAGCGCGTATGGAGCTCATGCAGCACAGGGTGTCGCACAATTGCTTTGGCTATACATAGAGGAAGAGACATCCCCCCGTTAGAAAATGGGGTAATGCCTCGGTGAGGGGGTGAATTCTAATAGAATAACGAGGGAAGACCCTGATTATGGCGTATCGTGCTGGATACCCCCACCTCCTTCCCCCCCTTCCATCACCACCTCCCTCCCCCTGAAAGGTTCAGAGGCACATGCATGCTGACTCTCCAGCCAAATATGCTGCTTTTATTATAAGGTGGCATAATAACAACAAAAGGATGGACTCAGAACAAAAACAAAAGAACGTGCGAATTAGAGACACTGGTGCAACAACAGGGATGCAGACAGAAAAAAAAAAAAAAGAGAGAAAAAAAACCCGATGAGTTACAGCAGAATTATTGGCACAGAGGAGCTCTCACTGGCCGTGCAGGGTTTGGCATGCCTACATTTGATCACCCGGTCGGCGGGACTTGCGTTGCTGTCGGACATCCTGGAGTCGGGACGGGAACGGAGCCGAGGGGGGGTTGGGGGGGCTCTCTCTTCTGTCAAGGGCCGAGATTGTGGTGTCGGTGGGTCCTCCGGCAGACGTCGACAATGTACGCGGTCGCTGGGTGCTTGTCTTGCTGCAGTAGTGGCATCACTCGGTGGAGTCTCCGCGCTCTCTCGGACGGGGGAAGCCTGCTGCTGCGCCTGCGGTGACTTTGGGGGAGGATAGGCGGATACCTAGCTGCTGTTGTGGCATGCTTGGCTCCCGAATTTGTTTTTTTTTTTTTTTTCTTTTTTTTTTTTGAGAGGGGGCGGGGGGGGGGGGGGGGGGGGGAGGGGGGGGGGGGGGGGGGGGGAGTAGACTCTGGAGGTTAGAGGCCGAAGAGACGCCTTGGAGAGAGAAGAGACGCGCAGTGCTCTACCTCTCCAGGACGCCTCTGCAAGCGGTTGCCGTGCAGCTGGCAACACCCCGGAATGGCGAAAGAAGGAACTCCCACGCAGATTCACGCACACGCGGGGACGCACACACACACACACATGCAGGCTTGCGCACACACACACACACACACGCATACACACACTCAGACTCATACTGCCATCCTGTGGAGGCATTGATTACAGGGCTTTCCCCCCACTGAACAACAACTTTGTGGAGTGGGCAGTTTTTGCGCGTAGGTGCGTGCGCGTGTAGCTGTACAGTACACTGTCTGACAGAACATCACGTGACCCTACAGCATAGTGACAGAATCTTCCATAAAGCAAAGAGTAAAGGGGATGTAGGAGTTGATCAAACGCGTAGATTAGACTTGACATTGATCTGCGAGCCTGAAAAGGAACAAAATGTTTTTCACATAACAGATGAGGGAACAGCAGCTCAGGACAAGAGGATGCTGTTTCCACAAAGAGGCACACTAAGAGACTGTAAATCTTAGCACAGGAGATTAAAAAAAAAAATTAAAAATTGCTAGCTGATGGTTTTTGCACAAAAAATGTGGCCAGCGCGTGGCCCAATGTGAGGGTCATGTTACCTGTGAGGGTCTCTGTACAGTAATACAGCCTATTTGGATTCAGTTGGTCAGCCTCAGCAGTTTTGGAGTATATCCGGCTTTTACAGGCCCCATATCGCCTCCCTTCCAGCTAAAATACTCTCATGTCCGTCATGTGTCTATTTCAATTTTTCCTCACAAAATACTGCAAAGACGGTTTATTTCACCATAACGGCAAAACCACTTGTTTTAGAGCCCTTCTAAACAGGCTGCTTTGCTCTGAAAACAAATTAGCTGCTACTGTTTCTGCCTCTATCAAGAATAACAAGCTGTCTGCATCAATTTGCCTTCAATTCCAATATCCGTACTACCATATTATACAGTACGCCAGAAAAAGATTTAATAAGTCCCAATACGTAACATGTCAAACGTAGTATGCAAAAAAATTACCTGGATGTCCAACTACATCCAGTCAGACTTTGAAGTACCAGCATGCTTCTCTTAACCGTAATTCACAATCGCACTACAGACTGCTCCAGTGAAAGTTTAAGGCACAATATTATCATGAAATAGTATGCCGCAGTTGTATGTACACCGCATAGAAACAGTACGTACTTGAAGTAAAAAGAAAAAGTAAGCAATATGGAACTGAGCTGGACCACTATTGGGTTGTTCAGTGTGAGGTGGCTCCTTGATTGAATTTCTACACACTTGTAAAGCCAGGAGGCTCACTGGTTGAGGAAAAGCAGAATTAAACATCTTCATATTTTAATAGATTGTACTTTAAACCTCCATGTTTATAACAGCCACAAAACATGATTAAAATGAATTTTCACTATATGGGAGCATTATGGCATTATATGAGACTCACATAACGAGGGGGAGGAGCAACAAACCCCCAACTGAAACTGAAACTTAAGTGTTAATGGCTCCTAAAGGATATAAATATCTGGAACTCCCAACTAGTCAGTCAGACCTGATGAAGCCTCTTGGATGAGAGGTGAAACATCTTCAGGAAACTCAAGCAAGTCCAGTTGCTACGATTAAACTACGAGAATAACAATGATCTGGATGACTGAGAATCTTCACAGACATGTTAAAAATCTATACTAACGTCACAAGATGCTAATGTCAGATATGTCTTTTCCTTGTATCTCTATTAATATTGAATCAAAGTGGGAATTTCTTAATTGAATTTGCTGCAAACCACATGTTGTTGTTGGCCTTTTCACCAGCAGACATTTTGATGTGTCGCAGCAGGAAAGCTACAGGTGTAATTAAAGACTGTATTCATGGTACCAGCAGTCGTGTGTACTGACTCACTGATACACCTGCATGGGACATCAGTGTTAGCTGTACATGTGCTTTTCCTACTGTGATAATGCTAATTCTCAACATCTAAAAATGACATCGCTATCTTGTTCAAATGCCAGTTTTCAACATTAAACTCTGACATTTTGGAACAAAATGCAAAATCATGGGGCGATGGAAACAGCAAGGTTCACTGCTCAGATATGGGAACATGGAGAAGTCTTGCACTGCACTTTAAATAGCATATGTATGCTGTGGAAATATTAAAATATATATACCCAGGATGGCCCCATACAGTCTGTGTAAGAAAACCTCAAATGTCTGAGATGTTGTGGTTATATCCTAGTAAAAGATATTAGATGCTGTAGAAACACATGATACCAACCGTGACATGTAAAATTAAGGCCACAAACTATTTATGCTCCCAAGAACATTTGTTAAATTACATGATAAGTTTTCGCGTGTAAATGTTTTTCTTCAGACAAAGAAGCATAAAGAGATGCTGCCTACAAATACAGACGAGGACGGGTCACCTGACAGGTCAGCTGATCGCCACAGGCACATAACATAATGGCCTCCGCATACTGATGAGCATAGTGTTTGTGTGCATACATAATAAAATAAAATACTAAAAGAAGTGCTTAGAAGAGCTAGAAAATAAATACAAAAACTTGATTGTTCATTTAGAATATTTATCACCTTAACTATGAGGAGAACGTCTTAAAATAATCCCAAGATTGTAGCATCACATGCAAACCATCATAAATACAAGTGATAACAAAATGGAAAACTGAAAATTGTTTTGTAGCTTGAGAAATTTAAACGGAATTTCATGTAAAAAGGTAGTAAATAATACCATAACAGTAGAAAGTCAGTGCAGTATATTAGGTACCCAAAAATTCAGAATATGTTCACCTCAAAAGTTATCGAACAGGCATCAGGTTTATCTCATTGAAACTCAAGACATCAACATAAACTGGTAATTTCATAAATGTTCCCAGGTGAATTAATGCTAGTGAGTGGGCCTATATGTTTTTTGTCTGGCGTCTACAATTTATCACATGCTTTTCTTTTTATGATTTGAAAACTGACCCAAGATGCAGAACAAGTGACTTTGAGGATCTCAGAGCAATGTAGGCTTTGCTTTAAAGAGACCAACATTTAACATAAGTTTTCATTAAATAGTAACTAGTCGTGCTTGATTTTTAATGCAATGTATGTTTTTTTGTGTGTTTGTTTGTTTTTAGCTTTTATGTCTTTATCTGACAACTGCTCCCACATCATCCTCACACAACGCACAACAGCAGATATGAACGAATTGAATCCATTGTCATAGATATAAAATCTTACACGGACTTCTGTGTTGGTGAAGAGGGGGTACAGCACATGTGAAGCCTACCAGTACACAGTTTGTTTACTGCATAACAGCCAGATACAAAAAAAACAAAAACAAAAACACTGCCAGTGTAAAAAAGAAAAAAGCATTACTGTTTACTGATGACATACTGATTGTAGTGAAATTGTATAGGAGCTGCATTTGATCAGAAATCTGACAATTTCAAGGAGTCTGAACAATTCTGGATGTGGCATTTTGTAGTAAAAGTGCAAAGACAAAATGTAAAGAGGGTTCAAATTTATAATCAACACAATCAGCAACATCAACACAATGTCCCACCACCTTCTGCCACTTATTTCATCTCAAGCCAGAAGAAACTTATTTGTCTGATAAAAAAAATTCCCCATGAATCAAAATGTGCTGTTAGTATGAATAGAATTTGGCCTATACTTGTAATTGTAAGACTGATTTACTTATTTGACAGAAGTGCTTTGATCATGTTATAGAATATGCAATTCATGTTTTTATTACTGAATATTTGTTAGCAGCGTTGATGTAATGTATCAGTAGATCCGTGTTTCTATCTGGAAAATTATCTACATTTGTGTTTAAGAGGAAGATTGTATTGTTGTGTGTTTCTCTGTACACCACTACAGGTGAGGCAGGTGCCATGAGGCCTGCAGGTGAGGAGACTATGGTCGTTTGTCATCAATGTGATAAACAAAACCAAAAAAAAATAATGTTGCTTTTAACTTTGTGTTGTGGGTCAGCTACAGGGAAATGTGCTGAGGTCATTTGAGGTGGAGGCTGAAATACCAGTTTTCAGTTGCAAGCATCCACCCTCCCGTTAGTACACACATTAGCTTACACCTTTACCTGAAACTGTTTAGTTCCACAAAACGCCTGTAACTGCAAAAAAAAGCCCTTTATGCCATGCTGAGGCAACTTCCAGAGATTCACACTCACACAATAAAAGCATACAAATAATATGTAGTAATTGTAGTCCTTGAATTAAAGAATAATTATCACTTCCTCAACACCGCTATTCTGTGCCAGTAATCTCGCGATTCCAGTAGCGACTCATATCACTCCGCGCCGAGCTAACCCCGGAGTGTAGTTCACCTGCATCCCGCTAAAAACTGCGGTTACACAGACAGCTACAGCCAGCGGACTGACCGTGTTGGTCACCGCAACCACTGTACTGTTTATAAACGGCAAACGACACTGCCACACTCGTAGTTAACCATTTTTAGCACCGCTTCCCAGGAGTTTGCCTCATGCAAAATACGAGCTGGGTCGCCATTTTGGCTCCGTCCGGACATTGCGAACCCTGCTTCAGCATCGCGTGCTCAGAGCCACAATGATGCCAGTTGCATACCTACGTCTCCAGCGTGCCCTGGGAGCCCCTGAGTGCGCATGCCCGCGGAAGGCTTTCAGCGGCAGCGCAGTGAAAGATGAGTTCCAACAGCGCGGGTCCGGTTCAGGCGGCGGGCCTTCAGAATAAAAGACTTTATAAACGTTTTGAGGTGCAAGAAGTAGTTCAGCATTTTAAAAATGTTTTTGCCACACAGTATGTTAACTACATAATCAATCAATCTAAAAAACAAAACAAAAAACATAATTTGTTAAGGTGAAATGAACAGTCAATTATCCCCTCAACCGAAAAACAAATGTGTTTACATGACTTATTAATCAAAAGTCATTTTTTAAAGAAAGTTCCATATGTGCTCCAGTCATCTTTTCAAACATGAACTTGCTTCTTTCTGTTGATATAACTGGGCTAAACTTGCAAAGATATCACCTTACGTTCATTCAGTATTATTATTATTATTGTAAGCAATCAATTGAAATGGTAGTCAACAAATTAAGTAGTAATAAAGATGATGCAGCCCAGGAATAAGAGCCCATCTTTGGGGAGACTGCACATGATATCAAGTTAGCAAGCAATTTCAATTTGACTAAAGACTGTTCAGTCTTTTGTGATTTTCGGTGAATATAAAAAGGCATCATACAGTACAACAGATATTTTTTTTTTCTTAAACTGGAACATTTTAACTTATACGTGATATAAATACTATCTTGGGGTCTTGGATTTAATATTTAACTTGGTCGCGTACATTTATATAGTAAAGAACATTGTTGGTTCTTAAAATTAATATTGAAAGTAGTCAGGTAAATGTACATAATATGAAACATTGTTGGTTCTTAACCTTAATATTTGAATGAAGTCAATTTGTATATTAAAAAATTATTATAGGTACTAATCTTTTTTTTTTAAATGAATCAGGAAAATTTGTACAATATAAAACATTGTTGGGTCCTAACCTTAATATTTAAATTAATCAGGTAAATTAACCAAAAATAATGATTTAGGGTCTTAAGATTAATATTTAAATTAGTCAGGTAAATTAACATAATGAATAATGATTTAGGGTCTTAAACTTCAGTCGGGCACATTTGCATAATAGATAATATTAGAAGTTTTAACCTTAATATTTCAATTAGACAGATAAATCTGTATAATATTAAATATTATAGAGTATTGACTTTTTATATTATAATTAGTCAGGTAATTGTGTAAAATGTAAAACGCTAATATTTCACTTTGCCAAGTTTTTTCTAATTTCTCTACTGGAGAGCACATTGGGTCACAGTCTGATGTTTTACGTGTAAAAAATAACGGGGTCTTGACTTAACTTACGTTTGTTACAGTGTGAGGATGAATTACTGACAGACATGGTTTAATTTAACATACAATGTGTGCAGCACAGCGAGCTGCAGGTGTTTTACTGTGAACAGGCGGCTCCGGATGAGTCGTGTTCGTTGCTGCTGGCAGCTCGCAGGCCGCAGTGATTTGGTAGCCGCTGCAGTAGGAGGAAGGACCGCGGTTCTACCCCTTCTATCTTTCAGTTTCGTCTCAAAATTTCTCTCGGTGGCACCTTCTAGTAGCGATCAGTAACCTGTGTATACATCAGCGGTGTTCTATGATAACTAAGTCGTAGTATTACCGACGGACAGTGATCTCAATCGCCATTTTAATCGCACGTTTTCCCTGACAGAAGCGCTAGCACAACAATGGCTCTGAAAAGAATTCACAAGGTAAGGAAGTGAACGACGAGGCCCGGGATTTCGCAGTTTGGTTGTGGGTTTAATTCCAAGGTTGCCTGTCGGATGCTTGTCCGGCGGGTTTGCTATATTGAGAATAATCCGAAAATATTTGACCAGGCTGGCTTTCAAGTGGCAGCTAACGGTCTGTGAAAGGCGAGTGACGACAGTGAGAGCAGCAATGCGCCGCTTTTCAGTGTTCACCAGTGCTGCTACAAATGGGCCAAGTCAACCGTTGACTAGGTTAGCTGCTGTGGTTGTGTCACACAGGTCCACAGTCTGTATCGGCTTACTATTTTTATATTTAATACTGCGTATAAGTGGATGTTTTAGCCCGCTACGTCTGTCACCACTTAATGATATTAGTGGTGTGTTAGCTGCTGCTGGCTAACCTTATCTGTCCCGGGTGGTTGGCTAACTCGGATAAGCTAAAGGTTCTGTCAAGCTAGCTCCCTGTATTTATATCTGTAGAGTGAAGGAGCTCACGGTAGTTTCCGTGATAAGCTATCGTACATGTCTTCAGTAGTTCCCAAACACGGTAGTCAAGGTAGCTAACAGTATTTATCACAGTTACTGAAGCTTTCTGAACTCGCTGTTTGATTTGACAGATAACTGTTAAGTTAGCCGCAGCGCTAGCGTTAGCTTCACTTAGGAGGACTCCTGCCGTCATTTTATTAGCGAATTTCTCATGTATTTGTTGCTAACTGTTTAAATGTCCTCCTATTTCTGTGTGTAAGGTAAATGTAAGAGCTCAGGCTTGAGGATTGATGAAGCCAAAGCTAGCTTGTGTCTGTTCCTTGTTTTTTCAATAACGGCATATTGTCTTCGCTTGTCGGTATGTAAAGTAGTTCTGATAAAGCAGCCGTGCTACTTTTATTTTTGTATTTCACGTGATTATTTCCCTGTATCTATGTAAATAAGTAGTAAATACGGAAACGCTCGTTCGTGGTGGTGTTAGCAGAGTGTCGCTGTGGTAAAAACAGGCCCCACGCGTTGTTCGCCTTTGATGGCATGTTGCTGGTAGCAGACGAGGAGCCCGTCGTTAATACGCCGTTTTTTTCGATTAGTTTAGCCTGTTGTTGTGTTTCTGTCTCGTTGTTATGTCGTCCTGTAACGTTAGCACAGCTTGTAACGCGGCTAAACGTCCGGGATAATGTTCGCCTGACATGACATCCTGTGCTGTTGTCGAACCGGAGCTGCTAGCATCGAGGCTAAAGCCAACGTTTCCACCGTAACGTTGCACCGGGCTGCCCAGTTTACCGGACTGGCTGCACCGTAGTACAACCTCTGTCATGTTATCGTGATCTCAGTGTGGCTACTACACGTACTCTCTGCTGTACCTGGCGAAATGCTGTTATGCAATAGCGGTCACAGCAATAATCAGAGCTCACGGTGCTGCTGTGGTGGTGTTGTTGTGTCAGAAGGAAATGTTTATAGAGTTGTTGTTGCAGTTGAAGTGACACCTGCCTGCAAACAGTGATTCAAAGCTGTCTGCGATTGTCTGTGATTCAGTCAAGACAGAAAGAGGACTCACGGTGGGCATGTACAGGGATATTTATCACAATTATATACACTCTTTTACCAGGAATTTTCATGTTGCTAATCCCAGTCAAGAAAGTGTTTTTCCCCTTATGATTAGCTAAATGTTTATAATACTGCTCCATACTGCAGGTCCCTGTCAACTGACTTGTCATATGCTCGTTTCAGGAGTTAAATGACTTGGCACGGGACCCACCAGCCCAGTGTTCTGCAGGACCAGTAGGAGATGACAGTAAGTAAACATCAAAACCCACACTGTGCCCTTAGTTGTGTGCAACTCAGGCTAAAAATAAATAAACACACTTCGTAATTTGACCGGATCATTTCATAAAAGTATCACACATGTATACGTATTTAAATAATCACATGTAACTCAAAAATCAGCAACGGACGATTATTGTGACGTGTTTGCATGTTCACCACAGGCTGCAAGTCAGTCACACAAAATGTTTTTAACTCAGATCATGAAACTTGTAAAGAAAAATGTAAACAACAGTAAAAGAATCCAAAGCATTTACTGGAATTAAGGAAGCACTTTGTTTTCCTTTTTTTTTTTTTTTCAAGAAAGCAGATCTGGGAAAAAACGAGATTTCCTTTACTGAAAAATCCTTGTGCATTGTGAAAGAATAATATTACCGCATCTATTGCTACGTCACTTGTCTTTACTTTCAGGCCAAGGGGATTCTCATGTTGCTAGGATATTCTTCTTTTGTAATGTCAGAGTTTTACAAAATTTTCCATGTCATCCCACAGAGATTGAACAAAAAGTAAAACCAAGAATGTGTTACAATGAACCCAGTTTCCTCTTTATTTAAGTACACTGGATTAAATAACTGTTATAAATGCTGTATTTGCTCCATCCATCTTTTTTAACCACTTAGTCCAACCAGGGTCGTGTTGGCTGGTAGCAGCCCAGACATCCCAGTTCACCATAACGTCCTCCATCTCATCCTGGGGGATCCTCAGGCCAGCTGGGAAGTAAAATCCCTCCTGGGCCGACTGTGCTTGATAGACCTCCAACTCAAGGTACCCAGGGGGCTTCCTAATCAGGTGCCTGGACCACCTGTGGTCATTACCCAGAGTTCATGACCATAGGTGAAGTTATAGATGTAGACCGACTGGTAAACAGAAAGCTTTGCATTCTGACTCAGCTCCTTGTTCACCCCTGCAGTCCGGTACAGCGACTGCAATACTGCTGCTGACGCCTGCAGCCGATCCCATGATCCTTCTCCCTTCACTCATGAATAAGACCCCGAGAATCTTCCCCTTACGTTATATTAGAGAACCACTGCCTCAAACTTGGAGGAGCTGATTTGCATACCAACTGCTTCGCACTCGGCTGCAAACTGTTCCGGTTAGTGCTGGAAGCATCCGTGTGATGGAGCCAAAAGGACAACAGCATCAGCAAAGACGTCACCTTCCAGCTCTCACACATAACACCTCGCTGATCTCAGTTGCGCCTTGATACCCTGTGCATGAAAATCACAAGCAGGAGTGGAGACGAGGCACAACCTTGGCGGAGTCCAACGTTCACATTGAACGAACACGACTTAAAACCAGACACGGCTCTCATTGCAGATGTAGAGAAACCGAACGGCCTGCAGTAGTGGCCACGGCAGCCCATAGGCCCACAAAATATCTCCAAGTCCACAAAACACATCGAGTGTCTTGGTGAACTCTTATACCCCCTGAGTCATCTGTGAAGGGGTGAAAATCTGGTCCGCTGCTCAAAGCCAGGACTGAATCCACATCGTTCCCCCTTAATCTGAGGTTCAGCTCCCGGCTGAGTCTCTAGTCCAAGACTTTTAGCGGGAAGCTGAAAAGTGTGACGCTCTTGATAGTTAGGACAGAGTCTCTAGTTTTCTTACTTGGAGAAAGTATTTCCTTTGAAGCAAATATTTTATATGTTAATTAAAAACAAGACATTGACAGAAAGTGACTTTTTTTGTCATGACACAGAAATAAACATTTAAAATATCAGTTTCAGAACAATCTAATATCTTTTAAATAATGTCTTGCATCCAAAAACTAATGTAACATAAGTTTGCTAAAAATATTTAATATATTTTGACAGATAATCTTATGGTAATATTAACTATACAGTTGAAACATAGAAAAAAATGCGATTCTTTGTGTAGTGAAATGAATATTTTATAGTGTGTTATGTCTTCAGACTGTATGCAGCCGGAGAAGTCACCGTTGTTTCTGCTTTGATTTTTCTACTCATTTTTAAACAACTTTTAACGGTCGATGTCCATAATTCTGTGACGTTAGCGTTAAGTGTGTCTGGCAGTAAATTCAGACCCTAAAACCAAATTTGTCTTGGGTTCCATAATCTGATTCTGTGGTTGATTGCATGTCATTGAAAGGTGAATCTGCATTTTAATGTCCCCCAGCTTCACGTATTCACCCATCTGCCAGCACAATTATCCACAACAGGACTTAAATACGTGAATAAACACGCTACAACGTTTGTGAAGTTTACAACCGTAGCGTAATCTCTCCGTACAGGGAGCCAGACCGCTTGTCTGACAAGATATTTTGCTGTTATTAACGTAATAGCAGCAAATGTAACAAAGATGTGTTACTACATGTTGGCAGAATCAAAGCTCTGCCCATAATCGCCATAGTATAGCTGTGTTTAACTGATCAACCGGCGTCTTCTGAAATGTTTGATGGTATTCTGATGACATAAACACGTCGCACTGTATTACAGTTTGTGTGATCACTTCCCCTTTTTGTGGTCACTTTGCTGACGCTGATAGATTCTGAAAATGGATTTGAAACACAAACAATAAATCAGAAGTGATGTTTTGCTGTCATGCTGCCATATATTATTGTCTATTTAACCCTATTCTACCACATTAGGAGGTTGATTTATTCTGTTTTGCCAACACAGCAGCAAGATTTCCTTCTTCCACATAAAAAAAAACAGTTACTAAAAATTATTAATTGAACTTATTTTAAAAAACATATACACATATTTGTTTGTCTCTTCACAGTGACTCGTGTCGTATCATAACTTGTCAGTCCATGCGGGTAGCAGCAGCTTCTTCCAGTGGCTTCAACAAACTACGAGTAGCATGTAAATAAAAAGCATAATCTGCTAAGATTGTCATCCAGAGGCATCTTGCAAGCATAACAGGCTTTGCAGAGTCACAAATATACACTGATTTAAACACATTTTATGCCATGCTGATGAGCCGTAAAGGTTCGACTTAAACTCGGTGAGGAACAGCAACGCCGATGCTTATCGTGACTGCAGCACCGGGGTTCCACAAGGGAGCAACACCCACAGCATTATCTCATGTTAGAGGTTTGTCACATATGCAGGTGGGAGCACATGCATATTCATAGATCGTCAGAGCATCTCATGTTGAATTTAAATGGGGAAAATCGACTCGCCGCTCGTATATTGTGCAGAAACATTTCCTCCCAAGTATAGATGTTTGCTTATGTAACGCGTGCTCGTTGAAAAGGCGTGTGGCATAAACGGTACCCGTGTAATTCGCCCTTCTTTTGTGTTTGACCTCTTAATCTGAATATTTTGACGTCTCTTGCCTATTTTTTGCATGCAAAGCTAAATGTTCCCTAAAAGAACACGCTGTACACTTTATGACATACAAGAAATCACAAAGTTTAAACAAACTAAAGCAACATTTGTCAAGTTTGAGAGTAAATCAGTTGTGTTGTTGTAACCCGAGTGGATGAAATGAATGAAAATGTTGAATTTAGGTGATCATGTTCCAGGAAAAACAGCTTTTATGTTACATCACAACAAGGCAACAACTGTGTGTTTGCATTAGCTTGATGGGATGCAGCTCTTCTCTGTTCTTATCAACAAATGTTTTACGAAAGGAGAACTGTTGCTTAAACTAAAGTTTGGTTTTAAAATGTGCAGGTGTATGTGAAGAGTTCTTCTTCCTGCCCTTTAAATTATCTTGCGTGAAAACAATCGAAGCGTATCTCCGGTAGAGTCGGTGCCTTGGGATTAGGCCATACACGTTCTGGTAAGAGGAAGTCGTCGTGTCAGAGCTGAAGAATTCTGTGACCATTTAGAGCTCCAACAAAATAGGAAGTCGTCTTTAATTACCACCATGAACCCTGATTCACTTTGAGGTGTTTTAAAGGTGCCGCATTCAATATTTGTGCATCTTTTCATGTCTGTGGCACTCTGTGACATTCAAACAGCACCATGGGAAACAGCAGCAACGTTGCTCTGCGCACGTAGCTTCCTGCCATCCAACATCAAATAAACCGCTCTACTATAAACTCCAGGAGTGTTTCTTGTGACGCATAATTGCTGTGGTTTTCTTTCTTTCTCTCCTTTTTTTTTTTAACGTGACATTTTGTTCTCAGACCTCAACAGGATGCTCGAATCGGACAGGTTTAAATGCTCCCAATCAGAATTTTTTTTGTCATGATTTGTGCTCGTTCTAAAATTACACCTCACGCAACAGTTTCCTCCGAAGCAGCAGTTTTGGTGTTGTTCATTTTCTGAACGTAAAAGTGCAATTATGTGACCCGTGGACATTTACAATTTTAAAAAACCTATTTCCAAGAATATCTTGTCCTGAGTTGCACTTTATGTAATGGTCTGTTACTCAACTGTACAAATAAACACGCACACTTCATGTGGCATTATTTATTGTAACTCTTGTCAGGCACACATTGTGTTCTTAGCGTTTCATAACCAATTTGTCTGGTTTTTGTTTCAGTGTTTCACTGGCAAGCCACAATAATGGGACCTGTAAGTATTCACTTTGTCAGCACTTTAACTGAACTGCTTTAGTGTTTGCTGGGGATTCACATTCATAAACATGATGGCAAAATGTTGTGCAATGTAACTCTTGACTGACTTGTACTTTTTAAACTGCGATTAGCTAAGACGCCATATGATAACCTTTTCATTTTGTGTGCATGTATTTGTTGTAATCCAGCCACTAACCGCTGAATGGATTTCTCTGTGCATTAGAATGACAGTCCTTACCAGAGCGGGGTTTTCTTCTTGACCATACACTTCCCCACAGACTACCCCTTCAAACCGCCAAAGGTGAGCACGCAAACATACAGAGAAGCAGCGTTTTTCAGTAACAGTGAGCCACATATAGCACCTCTGCGCTGCTCTAACATGTCGCAGCTTTACATCACTCGGTTTCCTGTTGTTCCTGTCATCTGCCCCTCTTTCTCACCCCCCACCCCCCCTCCTTCACTTACATTTTTTTTTCTTGCTGTTTTTTTCAGGTTGCATTTACCACAAGAATCTACCACCCAAATATCAACAGCAACGGCAGCATTTGTCTTGACATCCTGCGATCACAGTGGTCTCCGGCTCTCACCATCTCCAAAGGTAGACTGCTTCTGGCTGGCCTTCACACTCTGAAGTGCACATACAGCCGCAGACAAACGGCAGATGTTGCTGCCTTTGTGTAAACGCTGTGTTAAGAATGACGGAAAATGCTTCCTACAGATATCACACTTCTCTTTTAAACTGATGGCTCCCTCTATAAATGTCAGCTTTAGCTCTTTTAACACAGCAGTAGGTTAACACAGCAGTAGGTTGACACACAAACAGCGTCCCTCACGCATGAGTGTTTTTAAGTCCCAATTACATGTAATATCAGCAGCACAAGAGCTGTGACAGATACTCACCCCAGCTAGCATGTTGAGGGTCATCCAGTGGAAAATAATGCAAAGTGTGAAGAGATTTTATTTGTGAAAACTCTCAACCTTTGTGTATTCTGTGCTCCAGTTCTCCTGTCCATCTGCTCTCTGCTGTGCGACCCAAACCCGGACGACCCCTTAGTACCCGAGATCGCCCGCATCTACAAGACGGACAGGGAAAAGTAAGCTTAATGACTTCTTCGTTTGCTTCATGAGTCTTGTCAGCATTTAGGTGTATTATCGGTCACATAATAAGTAGAGTTTCTGCTGGCCTGAGTGGAGCTGTGCTGAGGCCTTCTTCTGCTCAAGCGTTTGATTCTTGCTGGGGACATCTGCTGCATCTCGTTTTCCTTTTTTGTCTCAGCTTCACTATAAATTCTTCAATAAAGCTGAAAACGCAGAAAAAAAAGTGCTAAAAGCTTCCAGTTTTATGACATTTTGTTACGCTCGTTCCCACATTTTAGCAACGCGTCGGTTTGACCTTCATCATTCTATTTTCCGTCTCGTGCCTGCTGCTTTGAATAGACACAGCAGCTTCAGATATCAAACGGCTTTACAAGCACATATTTTAAATGTCTTTGAGGAAAGTAAAACCTGGATATTACGCTGCGTTTTGCCTTATCAGCTCACTAACGAGAGCAAAGCGACTGTAAACTTGTTGCAGTCACACCTCAGCATGTTGTTTTTCTGTATTTCAAAATATTTCAAAAATGTCGGCATGCAGCATGTTGAGCACATATCAGCCTTAATCAGAAGGAGGTACGACAAAGCAAGTTCAAGATACTCAGGATTTCTTTGCGTTAGTTGGATAGATGACAGTGATTATCAGGTCTTTGTTAACCAGCTTGTGAGCACATAAGCAGGTTTGTTTGGCTCTTGGTCTGTACAAAACGGACCGATTGCTGTCTGCTTTAGTCAAAAGGAACAGACGGCATTGTTATTTCAAGTTAGACAGGAGAGGAACGCTGGTACAAAATTGTTAACCATGTGAGTTAATATATTTATTTTAAGCTTGTTTGAATGTGGCAGCTGCTCATTAGAGCCAGAAACGCTCTAAAAAGCCCAATACGTTTAAACACTTGAGTTTTTGACCAAATCAAAGCGAAACTGATGTTACTGATTTAATATCCTCTGTGATAAATATCAATAAACTAATCAGTTTTCTAATTAGGGCTGCATGGTGGCTCGGTGGTTAGCATCATTGCCTCGTAGCTAGAAGCTTCGCGTCCCGGTGAGGACACCCGGGATCTTTCTGTGTGGAGTCTCCATGTTCTCCCCGTGCAGCGTGGGTTCTCTCTGGGTTCTCCAGCTTCCTCCCACACAGTCCAAAAACATGTTGAGGTTAATTGGTGATTCTAAATTGTCCATAGGTGTGAATGTGAGTGTGCTTGGTTGTCTGTCTCTAAGTGTAGCCCTGTGATAGACTGGTGACCTGTCCAGGGTGTCTCCTGCCTTCACCCTGAATCAGCTGGGATAGACTCCAGCCCCCCATGACCCTAGTGAGGATTTAGTGGTGTATAGATAATGGATGGATGGAGTTTTCTAATTAGCTGCAGTACTAGCAATGTACAACGGACACAGAAGCTAATCAAATAAACATATTTTTGCATTTTTAACATCAACTGATTGCATTGGTTCCTGTGACAACATTACACAAATAGTCTGTTGTAACTGCATTCAGCGGCATCATCAACGTACGGCTCGACACGTTTGCAGATGTGTATTCCCTCAGCGAACAACTTGTATTGCTGGTCAGGAAAAGAAACGGTGAGAGGGTGGAGCTTTGTGCAGCTGATTTAAAGCCCAAACTCACCCAGAGATGAAAACAACATACCTCCCTACCTCATTAATCTTGCTTCGTAGTACAGCCCTCAGGGACGAGTGTGAAAAACGTGGTTCAACCTCCCTGGAGGTTTTTTATTTTTTTTCTATAACATGTCACAGAATCTTGATCACTAACAAACTGCTTTTCTCTGTCTGTCTGCTTGTTCACAGGTACAACAAAATAGCTCGGGAATGGACACAAAAGTATGCAATGTAGTGTTGGGGTAGAAACATGGCCAACCACCTCTACGACGTAAGGTTAGGGGAGCTTCAGACGTAAAGAGAAAACAAACAAAAAACCATACAAACAAATGAAAAGTTTAAAACAAGATCTTGTTGGTTTCCATTGGAGTGCTTTCTTTGAGCCACGCCTCCCCTTCACCAGAGTACCTGTAAAACTCCCTCTGCCCCACCTCCTCTCTCTCTCTCTCTCTCTCTCTCCTCTCTCTCTATCTCTATCTCTCTCTCTCTGTTTGACTCCCCCCTCTCCTCCCCTCCTGCCTCTCAGCTCACCTGCCCATCCTCCAGTGTACATATTGTCAACTTGCAATGGTAAAACCGTCTCTCCCCTGCTCCCTTTTCCCACCACCTCCCTCTCTGGTCACCTCTGACCTCCTGACTTCTTCTGTATTCCGTTACATTTTGTCACCAAGCAGGTTGGGCTGCCGCCGACCCTCCAAACTCCCCGCCCTCCCTCCTCTTCTCTCTCCCCCACTCGCCTGCATCCTCACCCACCACCATCACTAAAAGCATTCCTTTGAACATCTGTAAAGCTTTGAGGGGACCTGTTGTTTTTTGTTGTTCTTTATTTCCCATTTTTTTTGAAGGGGGGAGGGGGACAATAAGATTGAGGGATTTTTACACTCTGCACCCTTTCTTGTTTTGTTGTCCCAGTGACTTCCATCCGTAGAGGTGACAATTCAAGAAAGCAGTCAAAGGGCACTCTGTATTTTATACATAGAAGAAATCATCACAGGCTATGTAAAATGGAAAAAAAAAAAGAAAAAAATTAATGCACATGGCCTTTTTTGGTCTTCTGTTGGATTCTATGAAAGGACTTGAATTTATCCCAACACTTCCTGCTCCTCACTCCCCTCCCCTCCCATCCTCACCCCTTTGTACACACATAGACACACATGCACGCACAACTGTAACCCCATGTCACCCCCACCCCCACCCCCCACCACTACCACCACCTTTTCTTTATTCACAAAGTGGAGGTTCTGGACCAGGTATTTAAGCAATTTATTTTTCTTAGTTTAACCTGTGTTTTTATTCCCCACCCCCATAATTCTTTAGGTTGCTCTTTTTTCTTCTTCTTTTTTTTTTTGTTTCCTTTCTTTTTTTTCTTTTTCTTTTGCTATTGTTAAATTAGAGGCTAACATCTTAAATGGCTATGGGACTGGCTTGGGCTCTGGGTGCGAGGAGAACCCACTCTTCTTGCACAAAACCTCTGTATATTGAATTACCTGAGAGGCTCGTTGAGCTTTGTGTGTTGATTAAACTGTGTAATAAAAACCCTGGACTCCTGTGTTGACTCATTCTCAGGCCCTTTTTCAAAAGACGAACAGAGGCAGGAGAGAGAGAGTCGGTTGAAGCCAGGTCACATCCACGACCCAGTTCTGCAGAAATCTGACGGGATGAATAATGGCAGCAGTTAACACACGATCCCGCTGTTATTTAATAGTGAGATCACTGCTTTTATATGTGGAATTATCTGATTAATAAACAAATCGGGTTTTGAAATTGCTCCGAATCAGTGATTGTAAATGTGAGATATTTACTTTCTACCGCTTTTTTTTTTTTTTAAACCTTGTGAGTGTTTAAATAAACCTAGATTACATGTGTTTAAATCATTAAACCCAGTGCAATAACATTTATTCCTACGATTCTTATCTTTTAGAAGCTGCACTTTAAATTCCAGTAGACTTCATGTGAGGTCGCTTTGTCGCCCTCTGGTGGCGGTTTAATGTAAGTAATTTGAATACATAAATGTGTAAACATGGTGATCGTTGCTGCATTTATATAAATGATCAAGCAATACACAGGAACGCTAATTTTATCTATAAAATATCACTGTTCGATTAATTAATTTAATTATCCAGATGTTTGTTTTCTTTGATCCAGGGGTTAGTTTACTTCCTTGAGAAATAACTTCTTGGAAAGAGGAAATGGTACTCACCAAAGCTCGCGAGTTGTCAAGAGCGTTATCTACCGGCTGAAGCGACGATTGTTTAAAACCGCGTTACTTCAGTTTACAGTCAAAGGAGAACACAGTGACTTTCGCGTGGATAGAAGATGCTCGTAAAGTGTCACGCTTTTAATATAAAACATCTAGAAAAAGAATTAGTGGAGAAAAGCTGAACATTCTCGCGGCAGTTCGGCTTTTAAACCGCGCTAAAACGAAGCCGTCGCTACGTGGGGGGTGACGCGCTCGCTCCGGCTGACGCGCTCTGTTTGCGTCCTAAGCTCTGATTGGCTGCGACGCGGTGACGTGCGGACGTAGCGCAGCGCTGCCGGAGCGTGCAGAGTTCACATAAGCTCCTCGGTTGACCTTGTTGCCGCCGAGCTGCAAACAGCGCACCGTCCAGGGAAAGCATGACAACCCCAGGTTTACCTCCCATACCGATGCCTCCGATGCCCGCGTTAGCCAGCTCGGGTTTCAGGGTAACGAAAGGTAAAGTACCGAAGCTAGCTAGTAGCATGCTAGCATTAAAATTAGTGTTTTCGCTTGTGGCTAATGTAAACTTTACATGTCTGCGAAGGAAGTGGACCCAAAATTGTAGGTTATATGACAGTTGCATGGACATTATTCCATGTGAATTTTGCTTAAAATGATAAGAAATGTAATTAAATATAGTTACTTAGTCACTACAGTGTCAACAGCAGCTCCTTCTGCCTGGCTAGCCGCCATGTAGCTAGCTAACTGTCCGACCAGCCGACTTGGACGCAGGTTGTGTTTCCAACTTTAGCCGGTCTGGACCCTCCACACTTGGAGGCGATCCCAGCATCTACCGTAGCGGTGTCTTCATGTGTCGTGGCCTCTCGCTGCTCCAGCGAAGCAACTAATCACAGAAGTTGCTGATCCAGACTGACAGCAGGGCCTCTGTGTTCCTCTTGTCTCAGACTCCACATCATGTGATTCTCAGTGGATAATCCTCCCTCTCTGGAGTTTACAAAAGAAAAAAAAAAAAGGGCAGTTTCACGAGTCGTGCTTGAAATGAAAAGCCAGAGCACACACCTCTCAGTTTGTCAGATCTTTCTGTGTGGAAGTCAGGCTTTGTTCATTGCAAAAACCCTCTGAGCTACAATCATGCAACTGATGAATCAGCCTCAGTAGTTTTTTAAAGTAGAAGCTAAAATTCTCTGATTCCAGCTGCTTAAATGTGAATATGTTCTGGTTTCTATCCTCCTCCAATGACAGTAAACTGAATGTCTTTGGCTTGAGGACACAGGTTTCAAGGGTTTGTCACATGCTCATACAGTAAAATGCAAAGTGACAATAACACACACACCCTATGAAAAGAACATGCTTAGAAGTCTGTAGAAGAAGCCACAATGTCGTCTTGGATTTGTCACCATTCCCTTAGAGACCAAACAACTACACAGTTAATTGAGAATATAATCAGTGTAAATGTTAGTTAGTTGCAGCCCTACAGGAAGATAAAAGGTGTGTAAAGATTTACTTTTGGTCCAGGATGTCAGGTTAGTGCCTGAACTGGCCAAAGCTGTGAAGCATCACAAACCTTGGAACGTGAAAATGGGATTAAACTCACATTTCTCACCCCGTCAAACTGTGCAACAGTTAATATCACCGATTGATGTTACGTAACGCTGTTCAAGGGCGGGTTTTATTAGGAATCATGCTGTAACGAGCCGAGCAGCAAAGACGCACAGGAGCCTTGAGCAGCAGAAACATTTACAATGCAGTAGTCTGACAGGTTTTGTGAACATTGCATTCAAATGGCATTTAAATGGGCAGCTGGGTGCCAAATTAAAATTTGCAAGTCACTCAGAGTGGCCAGTTTATCAGGTGCACCTGCACAGTGGAATTATGCAGACTGACTTTCGTGGATCTTTACGGTCACCATGTTCGTGTCTCTCCAGAGCATCTGGTGGTCGCTGTGCCGGTGGCGGTGGTTGCAGCCGTCGGAGGCTTCCTAGTCAGCCATTACTTGAGCGGGCGGAGCTGTAAAAAGGGGCAGGTCAACGCATCCATCAGCAAAGACAGTCCCAAAGTGGTCCACAGCTTTGACATGGAGGACATCGGCACCAAGGCTGTGTACTGCCGCTGCTGGAAGTCAAAGAAGGTCGGGCGCATCACTAAGTTACCTTTTAGGGTTTGGGTTGCTGGTATTGAACTTTGTAAGGTTGCGCAAAGACTCCCCTAAGCTTTGCTGCGTTCACGGGACAGAATGTGACTCCTCAGTAATGTCAGGGCAGGTGATTTTCTTGGTATCCCGGACTGACACGCAGACGGGCAACACGCATTGAACGCTTCCCTCCACGAAGCTCTGCTAAACATATCAGAGGAAACGCTCGGTGACCCTGAGCGCTGGCTTCAGTTACAATCTGAATTTAACCCAGTGGGCAGCAGTTGTTTTGTTTAGAGGTTATATTTGAAAATGAGCGACCTCAGATGCACCTATGTGGCTCCTGAAGCTCCACAGGATGCAGAAACGAAATGCAAAAATGAGCTCAAGGGCACAGAAAGAAGAAAAAGTTAAAAGTTTTGATTAGCAGTGGGGTGAAATCGTGATCTGAATCAAAATTCTGCTCACAGATTTGGTTGAACTTAGGTGATCACGTGGCGTGTTGGGCAAATGGTTGCCTGGATACAAAGCCGGCCACTTCAACTCAAGGCTGAAAGTACAACTCACAAGTTCTGACAACCATTTTGTTCATGTGGAGCAGCAAAGTTTGGACCTTTCTGTGTGTGTTTAACCTTTAATTACCTGTAATGGGGAAATCTGCACGTTTCCTCTAAAAGGCAAATATTATCCGTGATAAAAATATCATTTATAAACCTTGTAGTTGTTTTATTTAATCAAGATCTTTAAGATAAATCCGGTTTTTGTTCACCTGCCCTGTGCCAGCGTCCATTTTAAAGTTTCTCGTGTACTTACTGTTTACTTCAGATCCTGATTGGCCAACAGCGCGCCCTCATATCATAAAGTACAAAGTGCTGAAACTTGATAAGGGCACATTTTGCTTCCCTCTGACGCTGTGTATCCTCCCCACAGTTCCCCTACTGCGACGGCGCCCACGCCAAACACAACGAGGAGACCGGGGACAACGTCGGGCCGCTCATCATCAAGAAGAAGGACGCTTAATCCCACCTCGGCCCTTCCCGACTCCTCAGTTTCCCTCGATCATTAATTATCGTTGCGGTGTCACGTCGATGGTTGCACTATGACACAGTTGAACCAAACCGTGTCTATTCTTCATAGCTCAGAACAAAAAGTCCTGAACGTGAGTTCACACAATCACAACACTGTGTTCAGACTAACTAAGTCTGAAATCAAAGGTCACTTCAGGACAGATAAGGAGGGGACGTTGACAATCAGCCAGACGTGGAGGCATTGTGACTCACATTTACCTAATGCGGAGTTTGTTTAAAATTCTCACCGGACCTGATATAAATAAAATATCTCGCCAATGCGGGCATCGTGCCTTCATGTCTGGTGTCACCTGTGCGGCCCCCCCCTCGTCTTATTGGCTCCTCTAGGTGTGGAGCAGGTGGTGGAAACATGACACCGGCCCTCAGTCCAGTATTTGAATTCAGCGTCGGCCTTATCTTTAAATCTACAGCCCGGAGTCTGAACAAACACAAAGCCCATGTGAATGTTACACGCTATGATTTCTTTTTGCTGTGCAGTCGGAACTACTAGAAGTTTGTCTTAAATGAATTCATCTGCAGTTTGTAACCTGCTTCCTGAGGAAACTGTTGTATTATCTGTAAAGTGCTCGGAGCTTTTTCATCAGATTTATTTTCTACTGGCTGCGGTGCGTCTGCTTTGTCGACTCATTGTTCTGTATATTGTGAATAAAACTTGTTGAGTGATCGGATTTTTATTTTTTTTGGTAATTTTTTTGTCGAGTGCTGAAGCGGCTGCAGGATCAGGGGTTAAACTGCACGTGTTTGTGTTTTTTAACCACAGGATTACTTCACCTGTGTGTGCAGAACAGAGCGGTGTGTTTATGGATTAACAGTGGACTGGGGTAATGAGTAAACAGGTCTGTGTGGTGACTGCAGCGGGATCACATCAGGCCAGTTCACTGAGTGTGTTTGTTCTGCTGCTGTGCTGCTGCTGCTGCTGCTGCTGCTGCAGTGTCCACCAGCACCAGTGGCCATTTTAAGACGCTGCAGTGTCCGCGGTGGCCGCTAGAAGACGCTGTGTTTGCACGGATAGCCCCGGACAGCCAGACGGTGTAGTGTGGTGGGCCCCTGCTCCCATAGTGACACGCACGCACGCACACACGAGGGTACGCGCGCACGCACACACACGCACGAGGTATTTGGCCGCGTGCCAGATGCAAGGGAGGGCTCCGAGAAGAGGTGGAGTGGACTCAGCCATCCCTGAGTGAGGAGTCACCTTTAGCAGACAGCTCCAGAGGGGAGGAGGAGCTGCTGTGTGCACGACTGTCACACTGAAGCTGCAGCAGCGTTAGCATGAAGGCTAGGCAGGTAAAATGTGGGAATAAACAGAGGATGCTGAAACTAAAGCAGCATTAGCATGATAGATACACAGTTTATATGTGCAAACACACTGACAACTAGAAATAAATCATCATTAATATGATGGCAAGTGATTTTGAATGTGCAAACACACTGATAAAAGTAAAGAAACATTAGCATGAAGGCTAGGAAGTTTAAATATTCTAACATACAGACTATTAAAAATACAGCAGCATTAGCATGAATGCTAATCATTTTAAATATGATAATTAGCAGAGATTGCTAAACCTGCTGTAACCTAAGCATGAAGGTTAATAATCCTAAATGTGCAAACATACAGACTGCAAAAAGTAAGTAGCGTGAGGACTGGTCATTATAATTATGGTAACACAGTAAAGGCTAAATGACATATAGTACCACATCAGGACTGCTTAAATTACAGCATCACAAGCATGAAGGCCGGTCATTTTAAATCTGCTAGCACACAAAGGCTACTAAAATTACAACAACATTAGCATGAGGGCTTATCACTTATGATATGGTAATAAACCGAGACTGCTACTGTTACAGCAACATTAGCGTAAATTCTAATCAGTTTATGTATTGATGATTGCTGAAAGTGCTGCAACATTGGCATGGTAGGTAAGAATAACAAAAGCGTGAACACAGTGATTGCTAAAACTATAATGACATTAGCATGAAGGCTAGTCAGTTCATATATAGGTGTCTGCTAAAGCTACAGTGACATTAGCATGATGGATAATCATTTTAAATATGCTAACACACAGTGCCTGTTAAAACTACAGCTGCATTAGCATTAAGGCTAGTCATTTTAAGTATGCTAACCCAAAGTGATAGTTTAAACTATAGCAACATAAGTGCAAAGGCCCATTATTATAAATATGCTAACACACGTGACAGCTAAAACTGCAAAACTTTAGCATGAAGGCTAACTACAGCAACATTAGCATGGAGGCCAGAAAATTTCAATATGGGCATCTGCTAAAATTACAAAAACATTAGCATGAAAGCTAGTCAGTTTAAATTTGGGTGATCATTTTAAATATGGATGAGTGACATAGTATGAAGGCTAAATGTGGGTTACTGCTAAAACTACAGCAACATTAGCATAAAGGCTAATCGCTTTAAAGGCTTTATGCTGAAAGGCTTGTCAATTTAAATCAGTTTAAATGTACTAACACAGAATGCCTGCTACAACTACAAGATTAGCAGGAAGTCATTTAGTCATTTATATGTTGACACACTATGCCTGCTGAAACTACAACAACATTAGAATGAAAGCTAGTCAGTTTATATAAGGTAACACAGAGTGCTACTGCTAACAGCTACAGCAAGATTAGCACAAAGCTAATAAAGTTAGCATACTGCTAATTATCAAATATGCTTCTCTGAGGGATCAAGTTTGGTCAGTTGGTGAAAAAAATGTAATTTTAGCAATAATTCATTCATTCTTTAAAAAGTTTTTAATTAATCTTCATGACTTATGTCATCTATATATTACACTGAGCTTAGCATATTGAGCTTAGCAATTGCTAATATGAATGCTAACAGAGCAAACCATGACTTTAGGATAAATCAGACTATGACAGTTTGTTTGTGCTACATTTTTTAAATATAGTGTTTAAACATGCACTCAGGTCAGTGGTTCTGCTTTTATACAGTGAAGAACCCATTTTTCAACACATAGTCTTTACTGTCATTTATTGAACAGAAATGATTAGTAAATAACTACATAATAAATAATAAACTGGAATATTCCTAAATGGCATCAATCAGATCTATTAATATGAAGCCAAATATTAAATTATTCAATTGCCATAAATAATAATTCATGAAATCGTTTTTAAAAATCTTTATGTTTTATTTATTATTATAT